GGTCGTGTTTCTGGACTGCTTCCTGTTTACAGTGGAGTTCCTCAGGGATCAGTACTGGGACCTTTGCTTTTCATAATGTTTATGAATGATCTATTCAGTAGAATTTCTAGTAATATATGTCTTCCATTTTCATTTGCTGATGATGTTCAGCTTTTGTTTAGAGGTGATGTAGAATTTCCTGATGTCTTACAAAGTGTTATTGATCATACTGCCGATTTATTATTTAGTTGGGTTCAGGATAATGATCTTTCTGTGAATGTAAGTAAGACCAAGGCAATGTTATTTGGTATCTGTGGTAATAATAATAATTTCTCTGTTACTTTGGGTAATAATATGATTGAGTTTGTTGGCAAACTTAAGTGTCTTGGGGTAATTCTTGACAGGGAACTGAACTTTGAAGGTCATGTTAATTCAGTGGTATCAAGGGTTAATTTTACCTTACGAAAATTGTACAGTCTGGATTTGATGTTGCCTTTTCACATTAAGAAAAGAGTAGTTCATGGACTTATAATGCCAATATTTCTATATGCCTTGGAGGTATATTCAGGTACCTTTGGTTATGTGATAAAGAGGTTAGGATTGACATTTAATAGAGTTGTGAGATACCTATATTCTATTGGAATGAGGCAGCATGTGTCAGTTTATGTTATAAAATTTCTTGGATTATCTTTTATGGATTATATTAAGTATAGAAATTTATTGCACTTTTACAAGTTATGTAAACTGCGTGCTCCGGAATATTTGGTTAGTTTGTTTGAGTTTTGCAAATCTAACAGAAATAGACAGTTGAAAATACCAAAGTTGACTTCAATATTAGAGCGATCATTTTGTGTTAGAGTGGCACGTGTATACAATAAATTATCGAAAACTTTGAGAAACTTTGATGTTTCTGTTGAAACTTATAAGAAAAAGCTTTTTCGTGAAATTTCTGAAAACAATTTATCCTTGTAGGTTTGAGTAGAACTGTGGAATGTTCTTATAGAATCGATGATTTTGGGTATATACATATATGTTTTCTACACAAGGTAATTTATTCTTTATTGTGTCAATATGGTGTAGTTAGCTGTTTTTTATATTGGATTTGGGAGATTTGCTGACTGTATATTGTGGAATTTGTCATTTATATTGACTTGTTTAATTGTATTAATTTCTGTATTTATGTAATTCTGTAAATAAAATTTTTTTGGGATTTTATGGCATATATTGGGATATGTGCTTTAATTCTATGTGTAATTAAGTTTCCTGTAACTCCATTGTATTGTTTTATTTTTGCTTCTTTATAACGTATTCTTGGATAATGTGGAGGTGTGGTTGTAAAGTTTTGGATATTCTTGTCTTTGTGTTGGGGAAACATTTCATTCTTGTTTGTGCTGTTTTTTTAAGCTGTAGTTAATTTTTTATGTTTTTTTGTTATTTCTATGATTTTGGAAGCCTGGTTTCTTGTGTAGGATTTTACTAGGGCATTTAAGTTTTTCTTTGCTTAATTTTGTTTTATTCAGGTAACTGAGATTCTATTAACTTTTTTTGGATTTGTTTTTATATTTACATGCTGGTTTTTGTAATGAATTAACTGATAATGATCTGGCAGTATCATTAATTTGTAATTTTTAGGAGACTTTTTGTTACTGTTAAATAATGGTTGATAATCATTTTTTAAGTGGAGGGTTGCTGTATTATATATTTATTCTGTATAATAGGTATATTTTTTAACATATTGTAAAGTTGATGTCTTTTGACTGGATTTTTTGAGAATTGTTTACTGAGTGGGTAGTAGTCTTGTAATACTATAACTTTATATGCATTTTGCTTTCTTCTGATAAATGAGCTGGAGTTTGTTTATAATTGAAATTAGAGATTGTATTCTGTTGTATATTTTCTATTATGTGAATGGTTTATCATTATTGAAATATTGTAAGTTTTATTCATATTAACATGCATATTCCCTTTGTTGGTTATTACCTTTTTGATATTAGTATCACTTGACTGAGTTGTGGTGTTATTATTGCATTTGATGGTACTTTGGTAATGTTGAGGAATTAACTATGTTGATTTGCTTTTGCAGTTGGAAATTTGTTGATGAAATAATACTGTTTTTGGTAGGTTGGAATGTTTAGATTGGTTTTGGAATTGTGTTGTCATTCATATTGTTATTGCTATTCTAGAGTAACTGTCTTTGTGATTATCCAATATGATGAATTACTGATATTGTCATAATTGTGTTTATGGTTTGTTTTATGTAGTTATTGATATTTGTATTGAAATTTTAAAAGATTTTGCTGAATACATTATTTTCAATTGTCAATTACTTGTAATTTCATATGTGGGTGCATCATTGAATATCTGTTGACTGATAAAAATTTGCTGGGTATATGTAAATGAGGTATCATTAGTGTTTTTCTTGTAATTGCTTGGATGAGGATTATTTGTGTTGTTTGGATTAATACTTCGAACATTGTTGATGTTGTCTGCTTCATTGTTTTTTTTTTATTATTCAAGATTATTTTTAATATCTTATTGTTATATTATTAGAAGTTGGAACTTTGTATTTTCTTTTACTTTCTTTAAATGATTATTTTATTTAACATGCAGGGTTTCTTAAATTGGTATTTTTCTTGTAGTTCATTGTGTTCTTTATGTGAGACCTTTTTTTTGATAAGATTTTGATTTATGTTGTATTAGTCCCTCATATTACTCACTAAATACTGTTACTTGTTTCTTTTTAAGGTATGTTATAATGCAAGTATTTTAGACCGTTGCTTTGGTATTATTGGTTGCCAAATTATTGTTGTTGGTTCATATCATTTTAATTGCAAGTAAAATGCATAGGTTTTTTATCTAGTATTGACTGATTTGTGATATGATTTTTTTTGAGATTGTTTGCCAATTTTGGGAAATTTCTGTTAGCTTTGAAATGGGGGAATGTTGTGTGGTTTAAGGATGTTGTGATTGCTCAGTCAATATTGCTGATTTGGATGAATTTACTTGTGACTGTTTTGGTGGAAGATGATTTGCGACTGTTATTGTATGCATGGAGTTTTGTGTTTGTGAGGATTTTTTCTGCTATTATATATTTTTGCTCCTAAGGAATTGTCTTTCACTTTGTTCTTTTAAAGTTAGTATTGAAATTTTTATTATGTAATTGATTGGTAATTTTGGTATTTAAATTCTTTTACATGAGTTGATATTTTTTGGGGTAGTTTAAAACTTTCTTATAATTGACTTATATTTCTTCACAGAAGGTTCAACTGATAGGTGTTTTATAGCTTCATGTTTCTGTCTGATTTGTATTACCTATGTCCTTTACAGTCTGGAGTGTTATTTGCCATATAGTTCCTGTATGACATATTGATTGGTTCTGTGAGTTCATTTTTGGGATTGTTTATGATTTCTACATATACTTTTCTTTATTTTAACCTGTTTTGCTTCTTTGAATTACATTTGTTTGATTGCAAATTATGTAGGAATTTATTTATGATCAATGCGGTACATTTTAATTGTCCTATCGTTATTTTATATAGTATATTATCTTTTTAAAAAAAATTAGGTGTAATTTTATTTATATATAATTATGTATTTTGTATTGGAGGAATTATTGTGAAGTAGAAATTTGTAACCGCTTATGGCCTATAGGCTAGGTTATTGAATATTGTTAAATAAAATAAATAAAAATTGCCATTTTAATGATATTACATGAAAAGAGGGTACAAATCCCCCAAAATTGTGGACCAAATGGGTCAAAAATATATCCATGCGGTTGATAGTTACCCCTTAAAACAATATTAAGCATAAAACCATGCGATTCTAGATTTTGTGTATCGTATAATATGATCAAATATGAAATACAGGAAAAATTCGCATACTTTTGTGAAGTAGTTTCATGGACGTTTTTAAAAAAAGCACAACTAATTTAAGTAAATGTAAAGTTTTCAAGTTTTAAGGGGCGTGATATCAAAACTAAGGACTATCTAGACAATATAACAAATTAATTTATTTATTTTTCACACAAAATATATTATTCAATTTGGTTTCTTTTCATAGTTTACCTAAATTCGAATACTTATGAGAGACACTGTATATGTACATTGAAAAATAACTCATTAAACTAATAAAACCTCTTTTTACTACTTCTTCATTAGCATTTTAACTCATTATTTTAACACGGTGATGTCATTGGAAGCAAGTACTTACAAAAAGTACCTGTAATTTCGCTTACAAAGAAGTTGCTTAAAAATTTAAAAATAAAACAGTTTTTTCACAATTAACAAAACACGACACAAGAGAAAAAATAAAAATATTCCATTTAGTTGCTTGACAGCATTCATTCATTTGAGGCAAGTACTTACCGCGCTCGCTTACAAATAGGGAGTTAGAGAAGTACTTGCAATTTCGCTTACATAGAGGTTGTTTGAAAATTAAAAAATAAAAACAGTTTTTTTTTCACAATTAACAAAACACGCAACAAGAGAAAAAAATATTCCATTTAGTTGCATGACAGCATTCAACAAAGTATGCTGCCATTTGTTTCAGAAATTGCAAACATAATTTTTAAAACCAAACACAAAAATAGCAAAAACGTTTGTGTTTATTCAACAATGAATATTCATGTACATTCTGAAGGAAAAAAATCGTAGCTTTTAATTTTTGAATTCATTTGAAAAGTTTACAAAAATATTTCTTTCTAGTTTTCTCAATTTCGTATTTGAAAATAAAAAGACAAAACAATACATACAAGAAATAATAAAGCAAAGGCTGTTTTGTCTCTTCGCACATGAATAGAACATAACACAACAAAAATTACATTTTGGAACGTGAGTGATAAATGTAGGAATATTTGGAACTCTGGTTATATTATATAAGAGATGCCAAACAAACTCGATATTTGATGAAAGAAGAAAAACACATTAACGATGAAAAAATATTGCGGAATAGCATTGAAATGTTCATATATATTCTTAATATGTTTTGACTATATTTAAAAGTTATAATTATTATTTTATTACCTTTAACTAAGTTGTATTTATCAGTAGGAGATGAGCGCGCTAATACACGCAATTTTGGCCAAACTTTATCAATTAAATGTTGTTGGATCTGTTGAAGAGGTAATTTGAAATATATCATTGTTGGTATTAAGGATTTAAGTTGAATATTGTTATCATATCGCTCATTTACTACAAGACTGGTGTTTAAGTACAAATCGATTACTTGCGGTATTTTTCTCTAAGTGTATATCCTAATGATTTACTACCATTAGTTTACATCTTTGATGCAAAACTAAAATAAAACTAACGATTAAACCGCTAATTTTATTTAAACTTTGTTTGTTTCCATATACTTAGACATAAGTAGTTATTAGTCTCTCGTCATTTAGAAGCCCTATAGAGCACTTCTTGTTGTGCATTCAATCATAAGGTAAAATATCAAATAAAGGAAGACTCTTCTTCTGTTTTTTATTAAACTAATAATCAATTGTTTTTTATTCATTTCTGTGTATTTGCATTGAACCACGGATTGACACCGAAACAACTGGCATAATCCAAAAATAGTCGTTTCGAGAAAATGACTTTGAATGTTCAATGACATTTAACTATTTTCTAAATTTGTAAAATTAAACCAGATTTATATAGTAGAGTTTAATACGTTTCTCATCTAAATTGACATTTAATTTTTATTTATTTAATATTCGTGAAAACATGAATTTTAGTTTTTACGTTTACAACAAAAAATCAAAATTTGATAAATTTATATGTATGATATTAGTATGACGAATATTTTGTAGCCATCAGTTCAAAAAAACCGAACTTTAGATTACGTCAGTCTTGTAGTAAATGAGCAATTTGATTACTTAAAATATTTTGTAGGAAAAAACTTAGAGTGAATAATTTCTTCAATACTTACATCTCCATTACTATCACGTATAAGCCTATTAAATTCTTTGCCTTCTAAGACTAAGAAATCATCACCAGGTTTTAAAATTCCACATTTACCGGCAATAGAACGAGCTGTATTGATATTGTCACCGGTAACCATACGTACTGTAATGCCAGCACGCTGGCACTTACGTATAGCGTCAGGAACTTCGGGTCTTACGGGATCTTCAATTCCTACAACGCACAAACAAGTTAAGTTTGCCATAATATTATCCTCGTCATCCCAATTGGGCTCATTTTCTATATGGACTTCATTTATCGCGGCCTTGCCAGGCACAAAATCACGATATGCAATGCATATGGTACGTAAACCATCGCAAGCCATGGGTTCTATAACTTCGCGTATTAAACGTTCCTGCATATCACGAGTAAATTTCTCCAAAACTCCATCATGACCATAAATAAACGCGCACCTTAAATGTAATTATCAATGTAAATATGAAATCAAATATTTCTGAACTTTAAAATATACTTTTTCAACATAATTTCCGAAGCACCCTTGCTATATAAGCGGTATCCACCATTTGATCTAGGTATAACTGTTCCCATGCTCTTACGCACGGAATTAAATGTATAAACACGTGTAAACTTATCTTCAGTAATTTCATCTCTTATAGATTGATATTTTACACCCAGTCCCTGTACAAAGCCTAATAGAGCACACTCTGTTTTATTACCAACCTGCATGGGCAGGTCCCCGGGATCAGCTCCAGGCTTAAATTAAAAAGGAAATTTTAATTTAATTGTTTTAATATACATAAATATATATATATATATATATATATATATATATATATATATATATATATATATATATATATATATATATATAATTTACACTATACTTAAATCAATTTGGCCTTTATTGGCTTACGATTTATTACATGAATAAATAAATAAATAAAAAAATATATATATGTATATATACAACAAGAAAACAGGTCTTTCTTAAGAGTACTGTTTAGATAAAGGCATACTACATTATTTATTTATTTATTATCATAATTCAGTAATATAAGCCACAATGGCCAAAATAACAATATTACACAGTAAAAAAAATATACCTGAAATCATATAAAAATAAAAACGTTTTTGATTTATAACATAGAAAATATTATAACATAGAAAATATGCTAAGCTATCGTTACCGCTAAAATACCTTTTCTGCACAACCACCGTTACTGCTACAATACAGAACTAAGCCAAAATACCGATAACGCAATCAATACCGAAATAAGTTAAAATACCGATAACGCTAAAATATCAATACTATCACCCTACCCCCCATATAAGCCCCCTTCAGAAAATTACTTTAATAATACTTTAATACTTTATATATATATATATATATATATATATATATATATATATATATATATATATATATATATATATATATATATATATATAATTCGTATGTATGTTTGGACTTTATAGACTGCTAAACGGCCGGACCAATTTTCCAGTAATTTTCACAGTGTCTTCCTGTATGTCTGGAAGGAAATATAGACTATTTTATTTTAAAAATTCATGGGGCAAATTGCCACGCCCACATACATAATAAGTATTTAAAATAACATATCTCAGAAACAGTAACAGCTAGAGTTTTTAAACTTTGTATGGACAACTTTGCATGCACATGAACATATGGGGTCAAAATGGACTAGCTATAGTACGCGTGGCCCCTCCCATATAAAGAGAACCTTAAATTAGTATATCTGAGAAAATATAACAGCTTGAGTCCTTTAATTCTCCAGGGCCACTTTAGTATCAACATGAATACTTAGGACAACAAATTAGCGGACATGCAATAGGGGGAGTGGCATCTCCCATATGAATTATATACAAAAAATCATTTATTTGGGAAACTATTAGACCTAGAATCCTAAAATTTTGCACGAAGAACTTTGACATTCATTTGAACATTGGGTAATAAATTGGTGGACTAGCACCTCCCATATGAATTAAATACAATTCGTTTATCTAGAAACTATTAGAGGTAGAATCTTAAAATTAACATAAAAGTGAAAAGTGAAAAGAATCCTCAAATTTTGCAGGAAGAATTTTCACATTCATGTGAACATGGGAGGTACCATACCCCTATTGTGGACTATCAAAAGGAGCTATGGCATTAAAATAAAAATTCGTATAACTGGGAAACTAATAGAACTAGAATCTTCAAAAATCGTAAAGTGCGGTTTTTATTTATACTGTTTTTAGGGTAGCAAAGCACACTGGATATAGCTAGTTTAATAATAAACTTCGTACTTTATTGTGAAGGAATCGTAATGTACAAATGTAAAAATTTCAGTCATATTTATTAAATATGGCCGACAAATAAATAATATTTCGACATGGTATACTGAGAATTCACAAATATTGCAAAATTTGACCTTTAAACTCCACATGGGCTAAGAATGTCCGATTGGAATTGAACTTGGAATATTTATGCGATTTTTCCGAAATCCGCCGAGTTCATATCGCTGGTACAGCGGTAAGAATTATTGAAGCGGTAAGAATTATTGAAGCGGTAAGAGTTATTGAAGCGGTAAGAATTATTGAACTAATTTATTTACAGCTTTATACGCATATCTATGTATATAAATCCCCATAAAATCTCCTAAAAATGTTTGTTTGTTTAACAAAGTTTCAAAAAAAGTGAAATTTGAGATTTGAAACAGCCGTTGAACCAATCAAACTTTTTTAACCATAGCTGAGAACAAGTTTGCGTTATCGTTTAAAGACGTTTAAGTAACAAAATGCTTTTTTTACAATATAACCAAAAAGAAAATAATTTTTTTTGTCACATTTCGAATTCATGTGCTGTGAGGCACGTTAATGGTCTGGGAAATTTGCAATAACTCTTAAAATTTTCAACCAATATTTTATATCATTCCGAAATGCTTATTATGTGTACATTACGATTCCTTCACAATAAAATGCAAATTTTATTATTAAACGCTAAAATTTGAGCAAAAACTGAGCAATGTAAATGCACTTGGAAACTTCAGAGCCGATACGGCACCTGTTAACATTATCCTATCAGCCTAAATTTTTGTATGACATAGTTTTAGAACCATTCTAGAGGGGGGCGGTCAAAATTCACAACTTTGTTGTTTGTTGCACTCTAATATACATACATACATTTATGTCTGTATGAACTTAGAACTATAAACTTACCAAAATGTTTGAAGTGTATGCTGAATTTACTGAAATGCCTTGGGTAATTAAGTTGCCTACATGATGTGGTATATCGTTCAAAGTAGGTAAAACTTTGCATAACTTTTCGCAAATATACGATTGCACCACAGTCATGCGATTTGTAGTTAATGTTCCAGTCTTATCTGAACAAATGGCAGTGGCATTACCCATAGTCTCGCAAGCATCCAAATGACGCACCAAGTTGTTATCTTTCATCATTTTCTAAATAAGTATAAAAACACATTATTGTACAATTCATACAAACACTTGAAAGCTTATTGTACAAATCAAATATAGCAGATTTCAATTATTCTAAAACAGTCTTAAAAAATTTTAGGTATTTTCAAAAATAATATACATTTTTAACTCTTCGCCTTTTAAGTAAAATATTTGGAATTTTATTATTTGTATATATATTTCTTCTAGCTGAAGGCCTTAGTTGCCATTGCTTCGAAAATAATAAGTTATCCTAATTTCTTATCTTAAGATAACTTAAGATAAATAAATAAATAAATCAATAAATAAATAAATTTGGAATTTTGTAGAAAAAAGATATATGTACATATTAAATTGCAAATTGTAAAAGATAATGCCGATAGCCTTACATAAGCTAGATAACACATAGGAACGTTTTTCCGTTTAGTTAGGAGAAACTCTATCAGGCATCCCTACACAACACAACACATTTTTAAGACTGTTTCAGGAATTTTTAAAACTACTTCATTTGCAATGCATTCCTTAAAGCCTTCAAGTATATGCACTAGCATTTTGAGATTTAGTTTCTGTTTTATTTCACCTTTACTGAATAAGCTAATGAAAGTGTAACGGCTAATGGTAGACCCTCAGGAACAGCTACAACCAAAACGGTAACACCAATAATTAAATGCTTGACCAGATTATTAGCGTATGTATTTTTCCAAGGTTTTTCTTCGATGACAAACGTTTTAATACAGAATTGTATTACTAATAAGATGACAGTTAGTACGGCAATCGTGGATCCAGCATAACCAATTTGTATGGCCAACTTTGTGAGTTTTGCTTGTAGAACAGATTTCTCTTTTTTGTGACCAGACTCGGGAGCAGCAGCTGTGGAAGACTGCTGTTGTTGTATGTGGTTGCCGTCAGAGTCAGCCTTATGACTAACAACTTTAGTTGGAGCTCTGTCATCGTCGCCTAATGTATCAAATTTATTAAGATGTCATATCAAATTAAAAACAAAATAATTTAATATTTATTTTTCATTGATAACACCCTTCTAGGATAGTAATTAGAGTGCACTGGATTTTTCTTTTTAAATTTTAAAATGTACATAGTTAACAGTAGAAATTGCACTCAGTGCGCTCTAATTATTGTTAACTGATTTCACTGATTATTGAAATAATGTGCTAATTATAAAAATATTACTACATTTTTGGTTATTACACATTAACAAATAATCACTTAGTAACCTATTACATTATATACGCAAATAATTTAAAAATATAAATATTAAAAAAATATTGCATCCTTTAATATTATTGTAATAATTAATGACTTTCTATTTTGCACTTATGTATATACACAAATACATATATTTGTTTAAGAAACTTAAAAATATAAAATGAGTGCAAGCAATTTATGGGCTCATTTAGCAAAACGTAACACATTTGTACAAGCAAAAAATGTAATTAATTCTCGGTATTCCCTAAATATATTTCTTATTTTAATTAAAAATAATAATGATTAGAATATTTTGTAATGCAAATTTTGGGTATATAGAATCTGAGTATTCAGGTTATGTATATATATGAACATATTTTTTTTAATTATTAAAATACGTACTGTGAATTATATTAAAAAAAAACTAAAGAATTACAATTGGTAAAAAATTGCCAACAAAATTACAAAAAAAACTAAAGCATAAAATTGAAAATGTGGAATTGATATAGTGTTTTGAAAATGTAGTAATATACATATGTTTATAAAGGAAATAAAATGAAGAATTTAAAAAAAGATATGAATATATTTTACTTTCACTCGTTTTCAAATGAAAATAAACGATACGTTATATAAAATGAGCCCACATATAGAGGATTGATTAATTTTAGCATAATCACCTGTTAAACTCTTACTCTTTTTGGCCTTTTTAGCTTCTACACAAACGTCATTACCAATTTGTTCATTAAAAACGAGAGAATAACAAATATATAGATAGTAGATCGAGCATGTTGAATTATGATCGGAAGTATTGTTATTTTGTTGGTGGTTGTGGTAGTGGTGGTTGGTGATGATTGTGGTCATATGGTGATGTAGATGTTGGTAACGGGGCATTCAAAGGCAAACAAAAAAGAATGATGATTATTTAATAATATTTAAAGTAAAATATATTACAAAAATTAATAAATAAAAATATAAACAAGTAAACATAAACTGTGTTCCGCAAATTTCAGATAATTGTATAGAGCAGAGCAGAACAATACAGATTCGAACCATAAAATGTGTCAATTGTAAAAAGAAGACCTACCACGTACATTTCAAAATAATTTAGGAACAAACTAAAAAATATATAAAGTTAATAACTAAACCATTAAAATATTATAGTCGGGTATCAAATTATAAAAATAAATTATGGTTGGGCATGCCTGTTACTATTCAATACAATTAACTTTTATATATACAAAAAGCGTATTACAAAATTTTCGGGTTATAGCTAAATACTCCCACTTCTAAAAATCTATTAAACTTAGGTTTATTTTGAAGATAAATTAAATTCAATTAAAATTAAATTAAATTAAATAAATTTTTTAAACAGTTTCTAATAGGATGCAATTCATGAATATCGGTCCATAATTCGATAAAAATCCCATCAAAATCTCGCTCTAAAAATTAACTCGCATAAAACGATTTTAAACGTCGGTACAGAGATAAAACTCAACACAAATAACATAATTAGTGGTGGAAAAAATAATAGATACGTCTTTTTTGCCGCGAAAACAAACTTTTCTCAAAAATTACCCGATTAGTATCTTAAATAAAAGGTATTTGACTCTTCCTTTATATGATGTATCTATTTTATAGATTTATTTGCTCCATCGTATTTTATTGGTATTCAAAAAATTTGGCTTTGGAAAAAATAATAGAAACGATTCATAGTATTGCAAAGGGACATAAGCTATGATATCATAAAAAGCGTTTTTTTATTTAATTTTGAAAATTGAAATTGAATATAATAACGATCGTTTTTACACCGTTTAGTTTACCGTATGGCTCTTGACAGCTGATTCGGGGGTCCGACATTCAAAATTTATTAAATAAAATGTGCAGATAGTAGAAAAAATTACTTTTCATTATTAAATTTTATATAAAATTAGTTTTTAAGATTTCCAGCAGAAAAAGTTTTAGATACACTTATAGATAATGGCAAACCACTGATTTTTCTGCCAAATTGCGAGCAATATTTAAATTTTGTGCAATTCAACCCGGTCCAGGAGGTTAAAATATGACTTAAATATCAAAGTATCTTGACAAACTGATAAAATAATATTAAATTAAGTTAAATTTAACATAAAATGTTTACATTTTTTTAAATTTATCTTGATTTTAAGGTAGTTTATTTTTAAAAGAAAGTTTAGTTAAAATGTGCCCTATAAAATTAATACGCCAAAAACAATATTTCTTTTTATTTTTTCACAAAATAAACTTATACGACTTTATAAAAGGCAAAAAATAAAAAAACATATTTTCTTTTCCTCATTTTAAAACTTCCTGTTATATTTTTTGGGTTAGATCGTATTATCTCTATACTAGTATTAATTCCTATACACTTATCTACCTAAAAATCAAGACGAATTTTAAATTTTTTAAAATTGTTTGAACTTTTTGTTAAAATCTAACTTAGTTTTAAATAATTTTTCCTGTTTGACAAATTACTTTGATATTTAAATTACTTTTAACCTCCTAGAGTGGGTTAAATTGCAAAAAATTTAAATATTGATCCAAATTCGGCCCCAAAATCTATAAGTGGATCTGAAACTTTTTCTGCTGGAAATCTTCTCAAACACTAATGTTGTATAAAATTTAAAAAATTTTCTTTCACCATCTGCACATTTTATTAGAAATTTTGAATGTGGGTCCCCGAATCAGCTGTCAGGAACCATACAGTAAATCAAACGGTGAAAAAACGAGTGTTAAATATCGTTTATTTGAGGTACTAATCATGAAATTCTATCGGGTAGTTTTTGAGAAATTTAAGTTTTTTTCCACAAAATAACGTCGTTTCTATTATTTTTTCCACCACTCTGTATAACGATCTAAAACAAATATTGTAATATAAGTTTTACAACGGTGTAGGATAACATCTAATAGGGATTGATTGATTATCTTTTTATATTTGTTAGCGTTGAAATAGTTTTACTTCTATTATGTCCCCAATTTAAATTTAAATTTCATCATGATTGTTATGGCATTCTTATAATGTTTTTATGAAATGTATTATTTTTTATTAATCTTCACTTTAACTCTTCACCTCTCTTTTATGTATCTTATATGCAATTGTGTGATCCTATATATAAATATACACTATCGGACAAAATAAAGTGCAAAAGTACTCATGCTATATTCTTTCAGCGAAAAATCGGTTAAATGATTATTAAATATGGAAATTTTTTTCAAAATCATTTAGTTTATATACAATGCTACAAAAATAACAATAAAAGTAAATTATTGAACTTAAAATTTTTCTGTATAACATCTAAAATTAAAATAAATAAACTTTTTTGTCGGACAAAATAAAGTGTAAATTTTATATATCATTATTTAAATTTCTTGTATATCAAAATTTGTTATCTATTTTGGTTCTGATTTTAATATTTATATCTACTTAAGCCATTTTGGTAATTTTGTTCTCCATTATTAGCCGCAATCGCCTTCCCTTCCCCTTGCTTTCCCCATATGATAATTTTCAAAAGAAATCCGTTTTGATCACAATTTCATCGGAATTTTTTTTATCAATTGTGATCACTTTTGCACTTTATTTGTCCGATATATATATATATATATATATATATATATATATATATATATATATATATATATATATATATATATATATATATATATATATATATATGTATATATACAGTGACGGACATTACAATAGAATCACTACCAATATTTCATATAAAACTATGATTTATATATATTTTCCTATTTTTTTTTCTTGCGTTTGAATTTTGTCTGTCTTCAAATTAAATTATATGAAACGTAAATTTTGTTGAATACATTGCGACAATAAATAGAATCACATTTAAAAAATAAAATTAAAAGGTGGCTTTGACTTTACTTTTTCGGGTTTTTTTGTTTTTTTTTTTTTTTTTTGTTAATGAGAAAATATTTTACTAGTAATTATTAAATATTAGCTATGGGTAATAAAATATTTATCAAAAAATGGGTCGCGCAAAACATTGCACTGAAGAAGAAAGAAAAATTATTAAAAATTTAAGTTGTTCTGGCTGATCTCAACGGGAAATTGCTAAATTAGTAGGACGATTCCAGAAATTTGTTTTTAATGCGTTATCCATCCGCAAGCCGCCACGTTCCATAGGAAAACCACGAAAAACTATTCAGCATGAAGATAATTTAATTGTTATAATATCCAAACGAGATCCATTTAAGTCCGCTGACGCAATCCGGAAGGAGGTTGTTTGTGAAGTATCCACAAGAACTGTTCAAAGAAGATTGATGTATGCTGGTCTGTGTGGCAGAACTTCAAGACAAGTTCCTATGCTCACTAAAAAGCACGTGGCAGCAAGAAAGAAATTTGCCAAAGAGCATAAGGATTGGTGTGGCCCGGAAAATATAAAAAAGTGGCGAAATGTGTTGTGGACAGATGAAACAAAGGTTAATTTGATTGGTAGCGATGGTAAACATGGGTCAGACGTCCAAAAAATGCTGAATTAGATCCTCGGTATACAACAAAAACGTTCAAACATGGTGGTGGAAATATTATGATATTGGGATACTTCTCTTGGTCCAATTTACTGGATTAAGGAAAATATGGAAAAGCACCTGTACGTAAATATTTTGGAAAATGTTATGAAGCCACATGCAGAATGGAGTATGCCCTTTAAAATGGGTATTCCAGCAAGAATACCCACTTTTTCGGTCTTGCGAAAAAGTGGTTTTGAGATAACAAAATCGATATTATGGAATGGCCCTCCCAATCCCCTGACTTAAATGCAGTCGAAAACCTATGGAAATTAGTCAAATTTATATATATATATATATATATATATATATATATATATATATATATATATATATATATATATTTATATATATATATATATATATATATATATATATATATATATATATATATATATATATATATATATTTATATATATATATATATATATATATATATATATATATATATATATATATATATAGATATAGGCTATATTATATTTGGACATCACGATTCTTCTTATGCTCACTTTTTTCTATATAATTATTATACAATATTTTCATTCGAGACTTACATGACTTCTATTACATGACATTTGGTATTACATGACATTTGGTATACAGATAAGTCTGACCTCAGGAGGAACTATAAACTACGCCCCTTAGTACGCTCACTTTTTGTAAAACTATTATTACATTATTTATTATTTTGCAATAAGAATATGCAAAAACTTCTTTACTGATTTACCTCAAATTTTGCATACCGATAGGTATAGGCTCGGAAAGAACTATAGCATATATATAAGATCTTGATCCGATGCAAGGCCCCTTTCTAAGCCCACTTTTTATAAAAAAATCCTTACCTATATCTTATCCTAAAATTATATGAAGGAGACTGTCTGTTTGTTACGTTTTCACGACAAACTATTGAAACGTTTTACATGAAATTTAGAACACTAATAGTTCTGTTCTAAAGTAGAACAATAGGCTATATTAAACTATGATTGGACGTCACGTTTCTTCTTCTACTCCCTTTTTTATTTAAAATTTTTCATTCGAGACTTACAGAAAATTACTGGTTTACATGAAATTTGGTATAGCGATAGGTCTGACCTCAGAAGGAACCATAAACTATATAAGATATGGATCGGACGCCTCGCCCCTTTTTACGCCAACTTTTTGTAA